TAGAGCATATAGGTAGCCATGTGAGATTTGAGCCTGCTCGTTTCTTTCTTGTGCGATAGATCCCTCTTCCATGATGTGTAGCAGTCACGTTGTCACTAGCTAAGATGATGGGGGCATAGGATTAGCCCACGACCAAATTTGACTGTCCTGATGTGTCATATCCCCTAGTCAGCCCTTTTGAGCCGTGTGTTATCCTTTCTTTTGGTCTGAAATGAAAAAAAATCACCCTTTTGCATCTTTTAGAAGGTTCCACAGAGTGGTTTTTACATATTCTCTGCTGTTTCTGCTAAATTTGATGTGAGTGTTGGAGGTAGTGCTTAAAAGTTGGGCTGGGCATGTGCTTGAAATATGTGCAGAAGTGGCGGCTCTCTTAAGAAATGAAAAGAAAATGAAAGAAAAACATAGAAAAAAATTGAAAGCAAAGAGAGCCACTACCAAAAATCTGAATAATGCCCAGTAAGTAGTATTTCTTAGCAGTCTGGCTTGGAAATGCTGACATTTATACCTCCTTCGCTCTTGTGCTTGAGATATTGAGTAATGCAGGATAGCAGAAAAGAAGTACCGGTTTGTTTGACTGTGATTGTGTGGGTTTGGAAATGTGGAACCTTGTGCTAATACTACTTCCACCACCTAAAAGGCCTTTTCCCCATGTCCAAGACCCTAGCCAGTCATTTGAACCTGTGTCTAAGACCTCCTGATTAGTTAGTGGTGACACTCCATATGTGAACTCTAGCATTTAGAGGCTGCCGTCATGGTGAAGAGATGTTAGGGATTGAGAGAAATAACATGCGCATTTTTTCGCATCAGATTGTCCTGACCCCACTGGTCGAGAGTGAGTGATTCATTTTTCATATTCTATATACTCTTGTACCCTGGTGAGGACCTAGATTGCTCGGTCTCTATTCTGATGTCTTGAGTTGGATGCATGAGTTGATTGTTTTGAGTAAGTGGTTGAGTCAAGTCTAGGTTGGTTGGTGAACAGAAGGGAGACTCTTCATTTACTCGATTTTGCTGCACTCGAATGTCCTTTGTGGTGGTTGTCCAGGTTGATATTGAAGTTGCTCATGTGTTGATGTTTGAAAACCAGTACGATTCACGTGTTCTGTGCCTTTATGACTTGTCCCCAATGTTGGTTGATTGAAATATATAAGCTTACCTTGTGTCTGACTTGGTTTGCTTGAGGACAAGCAAACGGTTAAGTGTGGGGGAATTTGATAGCATCGTATTTGCACGTGTTTTCACTCTGGTTTCCTGTCCATTTTAGCTTGAATTGATGGTTCCTTGGCCTATTTTACGCTAGGTTGTGTTGTTTTGTCGTATTTCAGGTCCTAGCAGGTAAAGAGGTGCATAGGTGCAAGTTTCGGGTCATTTGGAGGTCAGATGGTGATTCACAGGCCAAATTACGGGCAGCCCCTGCCAAATTACGACCGTAATTGGTCAGGGCATGCCCGTAAAACAAATGCCTAGCCACTTTCCCAAGAATTCTTCGCTGCAATAAAATTACGGGCAAGCATCCAACAAATTACGACCGTAATTAGAGAAATACTGGCGATAATTGGAAATTACGGGCGTGGTTCCCCTTCCAGCAGAGTAAAGTTAAACGCGCGTTTTGGGCGAATTACGGGCAGGCCGTGATTACGGCCGTAATTCTGCCCGTATTTCGCCCAGAGTCGGGTTTTTGAAGCCAGAATCGAGCCAAGGAAAGGGAATCGAATTTCTTGAGCAAAAACAGAGCCCTAGAGAGAGAAAGTACGAAGAACTCACCCTAGAAGCCATCTTGGAGCTTGGTTTCATCAAATCAAGCTTGGAGATCGTCCTAGGAGTGGAAATCATCATCCCGGAGCAGATTTTCCTCATCTTTATGAGTATGACTACTCCGATTACTGTTTTCTTCTCTCTCTCTATGGAGTAGAACCTCTCTCTCACTTGGGGGTGAAGAACCCTAGTTCTATGTGTTAGGGATTGATTGTAATGACATGGGATGATATTACTATTTGATTTTAATCGAATGATGCATGTTTATTGAGTCAATTGAAGTCTGATCAACTTTTCCTGATTCCTGCTGCAATCTGAGATAGATAGAATCTGATTAGGTTGCTAGAGTCTCATCATTCGATAGTAGGAGATTGGCTATACGAGAGTTAGCCAGTTTACTGCTTTGTACTGGAATCCAATTCCAGTAGTGGAGTTCTGTGCTTATTGCTTCAGCTTTCTATCCCGGTGAAGACTAGTCGTTTGCCGGGTAGTTAGACTGAGAGGGCTTGGTCAGCTTAAGAGATTCCAAGCTACTGTCGGATCTTCCGCAGTCTAATCAACAGTAAATCAACCCAGGGAAATACAATTGAAACCTAACTAAGGAGCTAGGGGGACTCATTCCCGAGTGACTCTTTCCTGCTTGAGAAAACCGAATAATTTCCTGCTTTATTTCTGCTTTTGCTTTTAAACAACAATCACATACTTTAGTTGGCTAGATAACAGAGAATCACTGAGTAAGCAGTAGATCTAGACCCCGGGTTGATAATATAACTTGCCTGTTACTGCAATGCCACTCGTCCTCGACTGCTAAGCCAGAATGATTTTTGGAGAGGACGACCAGAGTGGGAAAAATCATTAGGGTCTCTAGCAATAAAAGAATTTATTTTTATTTTTTAATGATGAAAATAATGAGGTGGAAATTTTGAAATATTTAATTTTTTTTTATATTTTGATGACCATGTCATATATTTAATGGTCAACTTAAGGAGTTGACTGTCACATAAACAAAAGTTAACAGAGTTGGACGGAGAGTGATCAAACTTGACACTCTTTAGTAATTTTAGTGACCACAAATGGAATAAAATATTTTTAGTGACTGAACTTGACATTTTTTTAGTAATTTCAGTGACCAATCACGGCATTTACCAAAAAATATAGGTACAATTTAAAGTTGTAATATAAAGGCAAAACTAAAGCATCAATGCTTTAGAGCAAAGTAAAATTTCTCTCCTATAATAGGAATATAGGATAAACATTTTGACACATATGATACAAGGCTCCATAATATCTTCAACGTGTTCCTTTTAATTTATTGTGTTTGTGCTTCTCCTTTGCACATGCTGACTGTCTCACTGATTTTGTTTGATTTGGGTTTCTGCTTTGTGGCCAATCAATAGCCACAAAAGCTAAGCTTATAAGTTATGAGCCTCTTCTTATAGATCTTACGGGTTGTTTGGATTAGAAATTTTAATCTGAGAGATTTATAATTGATTTTGGCCTAGTTCTTTTGTTTAAAACCCATAAAACTTAAATGAGTTATTTGATCTAATTTACTTGTTTTGTTAGACATGAGAAATTATTAGGGCTTTGTATCATAATTATCTAAAGACTATTCAATGAAAAAATGTATAAAGACTAATTTAGCCTTGTCTTCTTCTTCCTCCTCCACCGATCTCCTTTCTCCAATCCAATCGAAGCAGTGACAATTGAAAAAATCATGCAGGTAGTCGGTAGCCTTGCTACTTGGCGTTCGACCTCATCTTCGCAAATGGAGAAACAAAGTCTGTTGGTGCGCGAGATTGTTATGGGAGGGAATCCATCTCTTCCCTCGTCCCACAATCCTGGCGTCTAAAATCGAAAGATTCATATGCTCCATGCCATATAAATTCATCGCTAGCTCTTCAGATTCGTCCCTCCGGATGATTCATATCCTCTCACGGGCGTACTTTCCCTTCAATCGCCAAAATCCATATTCGATTAAATAACAGGACGATGGTGACTTCGCCTACCTTCGCATCTGCTTGTTGACGGTCCGGGCTTATCTCTCTCCCGCCGGTCACTTCATATGCCTAACATCTCACTCATTCCCGGGGATCTTGCCAATTGATTCTTGTTCTTTCCTTACATTCCCATCATCGTCAATGGAGATTGGAAGTTCGGGTTTCTTTAAATTGATGGTGGTTGGGCTTCAAAAGAGCTTTGTAATTGACAACAACGAGAGCATGAAATCAAAGATGGAATCGAAGCAGGAGGTCGGCGAGATTGTGAAGAAGCTGGCCATCCTCGCACTCTCGCCGTCATCTCTGTGGGATGGAAGGAGGGTTGTGGGATGAACCAGAATGAAGGGCGCACATTGAAAAAAATTAATAAAATATGAGAGATTTGGAAATAGCTGATGGCTATAAGCTATTTGAAAAATCCACGTTTAAGGGTTTTTAAAATTTCTAATGTTTAAAATCCCTCATCGTTTAAGCGTTATCCAAATGGGTAATTTTGTTAAAATCCCTCATTGTTTGAGATTGTGCCAAAATCCTTGACAAAAAACTCTAATCCGAAGGAGGCTTAAGAGTAAAAACCAGGTCTTTCCATTATGTATTATTTTATACAAAAAATATATTGTTCATATATCTTTTGTCATTATATAATTTCTTCTGTCTATGAATCAATTAGAAAGACGCTTTTATTGGGTGCCCAAAGTGAGTTTGAATAATTTGATCCTTTCAGCAAACAAAATCTGGTTCTAAACGATTTTCTTATTTGGAAGTTCTCATGAAAGAATAAGATATTGCCCCCCCCCCCCCCCCCCCCCCCTTTTTTCTTGTTTTGCTAGTCTTCCTTCTAACTTGGGCCGGCCGGAGAAAGAAACCTACTAGAAAACACTCATAGTGTTAGAATATTAGTGGATGTTCACCCTTCACATCACTATCTCCCCAACCTCCTACTATGACATTAATGATATATGTTTGCTTCTTGCTTATAAAAGGAATGCAAGTGAAGAAGACAAGACACACCAAAAGCTTCATAGCTTACACACCTCTCTGTATTCATTTGTATCATGTATTACGAGATTACTTAATAAAAAGTTACTCTTCTCATCATATTTTTGTGTGTATTCCGGAGTATTTGTTTCACAACACGTTATCAGAATGACGCTCTACGTGCTCAAGATCCTGTAGATTAGAGCAAACTCTGAAAGTGGAAGTTTCAAATTCTATATACTCAAGATCCTGTCGATATAAGGAAAATGATCGACCTCTTTCACCGAGTGGTCTACCACTTGAGTCAACCGGTCTAGCTTTCGGAAAAGGGTCGACCTGATGACACACTTACCTTCAAGTGGTCGACCTCTTCCCCCAAATTAGGGATGGCAATTCTAGCCTGGCCCGACAATTTGGACCTGACCCGGCCTGTTTTGGGGCAAGTCAAACCCGACCCGCCTCGCCTCTTAGCAAGGTCTTGGCCCGACCCACTCATGGGTCAGGTCAGGTCTGGGTAGCACCCTAGCCCGGCCCGAACCCGGCCCGACCCGACCCGTCGATATATGGACTATAAAAATATATACAGAGGAGGAGAGGTTCTTTAATCCTTCACGCAATGCTTCACTTTCCCTTCCCGAAAAGTCCTTTCCCGAGAAGCGATTCTCGAGCCTTCCTCTCAAACTCCATCCTTTTGCAAGACAACCACCATAATCATGCTTTACATTTTCCTCTCGTCGCCTCGTCTTCTCCCTCTCCATAATTTCAGTTTGATTTTCGTATACGTAGATGTAGATGACAAAGGATGAGATTTGAGAGTAGAGACATCCACCCTATCGCCAAAGTAGAGACATCGAGTCAAACCCTCGTCCTGCAGTTGGTTACAAGGAATTAATTGCTTTCTTGTGTGTGTGTCCAATTGCATGTATATTTGTAATCAACCTATGGCTATGAACATGATTAAGCAATTTTAGTTCTTATTCTTTGTTGGGTTTGAGCTCACACAATCCCATATTTTCTACTTGTTGCCATCGTGTTTAGAGAGGAATTTCTAATTAAAGGAGGGATTGAAGTTTGGAAAAACTTCAATCTTTCTGATGTAGTCTCGGTTTCATTATGAATCAAAGAAGCTTCAGTAGAAATAGATGTTTGGGGTCTCAAAGGGGGCGTCCTTTGAATTGATTTGTTCATTCATTGGGAACAACCGATCCAGATCTCCTTCAATTTGGTTTCCACTATCTGCTGCAATGTTTGGTGTTTGCAGATTGTAGCTACGGTGCTCCACTAGTCGAAGTAGGTGGATCGGTACACAAAGTTCAGTCCCCAATATGGTATCATTTTGATGCATGGTGATGCAGCATGCAACAAGTCTCAATAGTGATGAATTGAAGTCAGGAGCAGCTTGGAGAAATTGAGACCTGGCTTGCGAGATTGCAAGTCTTCTAGAACTGAAGTTATGATATTGCAACAGTACCGAAGATGTAATTTAAGTAGGGTTTTGTGTTTAATTTTTTTTTTCTTCAACACTTTGAGATGCAAAGCTTGTTGAGTGGATTGAATATCTATGTTTTGCAGGCAATATGGGTGATTGTGCTGTATATTTTCATTTGTTACTTGCTTTGTACAAGAAACTTTGGTTTGTATTTTGATTTTGGTGTTTAGTCGGACAAACCAGAGCTTGTTTCAATTGTTAGAAACGGTATTGATGGGTCAGGGCGGGTACTACCCGCCCCGAGCGGGGCAGTTCATGGGTCATTGAATGCAGGCCCGTGTCGGGCCTTGGGGCAGGTCGGGTCAAATGCAAGGCCCAAGGCGGGTCAAATTTTTAAAGTGCAGGGTAGGTCCAGGTATGATACCCGACCTGTCATGGAACCATTGTCATCCCTACCATTGGGGTAGAGATGGCAATAGGTCGGATAGTGAAACGGGTAGAAAGTACATGTCCGTTACCCTATCCAAAGTAGTTCGGGTTTTACCCATACCCACTTGTGAAATGGGTAGAAAATTAAAACTATGCCCATACCCGTTCGGGTTTCGGGTATCCGCAGTTATCCATGGGTAATGATTTTTCTTCATAACTATAACCAATATGTTAACATTCACACGTATTCTCACATTACGTAAGAAGAAAGTACAACAATAGTTCACTAGAATGAAGAAAATTAATTAAAACAACACAATTGCATGAAAATATTATATTTATATGATAAATATAAAATATGTTAGAGAAAAAAATGTTTATTTCTAGACAGAATACATATGCATGTGTATAATCGGAAGGGGTTCGGGTTGGATAGTGAGAAACCCATGCCCACTGATTACCCGCAATATGCGGGTTTAGATTTTACCCATACCCACTAAATGTCCTTCGGGTTCGGGTTCTACCCTACCCGATTAGGCTGGATTCGGGCGGATATCCACGGTTACGGATATTTTTGCCATCCCTACCAAATGGTCGACCACTTTCACCAAGTGGTCCACCACTCGAGTTAAATGTTCTACCGCTTCCGAAAATGGGTCGACCTGATGCCACACTTACCTTCAAGTGGTCAACCTCTTCTACCAAGTGGTCAACAGTTACTGTCCAAGAAAATAGTCTACCACTTCCACTAAGTGGTCTACCACTTGAGGCAACCGGTCTATCGCTCCCAGCAATCGGTCAACCTATGACACACTTACTTTCAACTTACACCTGCTTGTTGGAGGAGGTAGATCGCTTGTGCCAAAACAGCCTACCGACATGTTGGGTGTCACAGAGATGGGGATACCACATAAACCGCAGGACCCCCTTGCGGTTCTTTATTAGCAAATCAGACCGTAGGGGTTAGTGGTGGTTCCTCCTTTTGTCAACACAGAAACCGCAGGGGTGTCCCATGGTTCTGTCTAGGTCAGCCATAAAACTGCAGCTGCCCCCTACGATTCTTTACACTAATTTATTTGTAAACCGCCACAAAGTAACGCGATTCTTTTGAAACGGTGGTATAGAAGGATTTTTTTTTTGGAAATGATGATATTTTTTAAATTTTTATAGTTTTTGGAGGGTATATTGGGAGAAATTCCTTGAATTTATCCAACCAAACTCAACCCACTTTTATCTTCCTCTCCCTCTCACCTATCCCTGCCCTCTCTCTTTTTCCTTTTACTTCGTCTTCTCTACCGTCGCAATGTCGACTCACCAGAATCCATCTCCCACTTCCAACACTCGCTACGCAGCTCACAATCGTCATCTCCAAAGCCCAACCCGGTCCTCAAAATCATAGTCCAAATTACCTATGGAACATTATCCTATCTTACTGCTCAGCCGAGGAAATCCTCCTTTCGAAATCAACGGTTTCTCTCGTCAAACACACAGTCAACAAGCCCGTCGTGCGATAATCTTATACCCATCTCGGACGCTTCTTTTCACGAGCTTGCTCATCTCCTCATTCTCAATCCACCACACTTTCGCATTTCCATTATGTGAGAACTTTTGAGAATACTGAAATATGTGGATTTTTCCATTTATCAAGCCAATTGCTCATCTGGATGCTCTTTAGTCGCTTCTCCTGAATTCATCTCCTCCTTCAACTACGGTGACAAACTGGCGATGGTCGGGTGGTCCCTCTGTACCGCCGTCGTGTGCGAGGTCATCTCCTATGTTCGAAGGTAAAGGCGTCGAAAAGCTGCCTTTTGCTTGTGAAGAAGATAAGCCACAAGGATTTGCAAGGCAACGACCCGACATATTGTTCCATGGCGAGGAGCTACTGTCGCTGAATTGTTCCCTATGCCCGATCTCAAAACCAATTGATCGGGTTCGTTTAGCCCAACAAGTCTAGGTCGTTGGCCATTATCAATTGGGGGTAGTCTTCAGGTCGGGTGGGTTGAGTGTGATTCGATTGGGTTTAATTTGGTTTGGTTCGTTGAATTTTTTATTAGTTTTTTTGGTAACGTGGCGTGCTGACTGTATTGAGGTACCAAATTTTAGAATGGAGATGGACGAAATAACATTTTTGTTATTCGTCCAAACGTGTATTATTGAACGGGTACAATTAAAATTTTATGATCATTTTATACTAAGTGATAAATTGTTTGATGGTTTATAATAATTAAATTTCTTAGCGGGCTAGAAAGCCAATTCTAAGTTCTAACCCCATTGCCCCAAAATTTTCGCGCTACGCAAGACTCGACCCCGCTTCTTTCATTTTGAGTTGCGGTTGGCTTTCCCATCGGATGTCAGCCTAAGTTATTCTGCTAACTGCATAAGTTGTTAGTATATACTAACTAATATCCAAAATGTATGAACTAGTATCCAAGTCTGATGATTTTACTAAAGTATCTAGATAGCACAAACTATTATTCAAAACATCACAAACTAGTATCCAGATAGCAGATACCAACTAATATCCACAATCAACCAACTAGTATTCAATATGGATACTCTTATGTGTTATCTGGATACTCTTATATGTGATCTGGATAATAATTATGTGCTGTATGGATACTATTCTGTGTTGTCTAGATATTAGTTTGTGAATTTGGGATAATAGTTGATTCATGGTGGATATTAGTTAGCAAATCTTGAATACTAGTCTGTGCTCTCTAGATACTTTAGTACTTGGATACTAGTTCATGTATTTTGGATATAAGTTAGTATCTTCTAACGAATCTTCAAGTTAGCAGATTAACTTTCCCCGTCGGATGTTCCTTCCACCCTCCGCATTCCGCCTCCATCTAACTTGTCTCCTCTCCCTCGAGTCGAGACGATCTCATCTCATCTCAGCACCCACTGATGGCGAAACCCGCCGGAGCCACTCTCATCCAAACTCTTCGTCGCTACGTTAAAAAGCCATGGGAGATAACGGGACCATGCGCGGACCGGGAATACAGGCATGCCATCCCGAAATCGACCGAGTACCGCCTTGAATGTCCTGCCACAACCAAGCTGAAGGCAATCGTGCCCACCTCCGACCCTGAAGCCGTTTTCGACATCAAGCGCACGGTTTTGAAGAAGGCCAATGTGGTGAAGATGATGAAGGAGCAGGCGTTCAAGGTTGTAGATCTCCCTCTTGTTTATTTGGCCGGAGCGGTTGAGGAGGATATCAATACCCGTGGTGGTGGCTACCAGAAATGACGAAAGAGGTAAGTAAAATGATCGTTTTGAAATTTCTCGGATTCCGTTGATTGTTAGGTTTGTCTGTAGTCTCCGAGCAATGATCAATGCTCGAATGTTTCTAAGTTTTATTTAAGGGAACGATCTGTTCGTTGAAAGTTGCTACTTCGTGAATTTTCATCTGGCGGTAGTGCCGCCAAAAGTTCTAAGAGATCAATGTTATGTCCTTTTTTGTGTTCAAATATGTGTGTTCATCGTTTCAATAACTGCCTTGCGATTCTCGAGCAATACTAGTGGTATCCATTTGAAGACATGTTGATGTTTTCTACCCTCTGATTATAATTCTTAGCAACTGGTGTCAATCAATCATAGTTGGAAGGTCTCGGTTGATTCATTGAGGAGAACTTCTGCTATATCCTTTGTGCAATTTAGTGTATTCCATATGATAAACCGATAAGTGTGAATGAATTCTCGTGATTAACACAACTACTCGTAGAAATCCTTATTTCGTGATTATTCTTATGATGCCGTCAGAAGTTCTCAGGTGAAAAGAATCAAACTATATAATCCTTTGTGGCTCTAGCTATTAATATTCTGTCATACTATATAAAGTTCGGTTTTTGTTGTTTTTGTGCATGTAGCAATAGTTATGAAACTTAGAAACTTTATTTCATTGGGCAAAAGTTGGTTGCAGAAGTAGAGAGGCAATTGTAAGCATAATGTAGATCCGTTGGTGCATCAAGTTCATTGTTTTGAGGTACCTAGCTGCTTACTGGTTTTCCGATTTCTTCACAACTGGTTGGGAGGAGATATAAAAGGAGGAGCTGAAAGTTTCTCTCTTTTGGTTGGTTGGTTTAGGCATGAATCTTTGTTTGATAGACAAGCTGCGCCTAGATCTTCATACTAAGGTGGATCCCTTGTTTCTGTGCTCCCAATTAGGCCTTCAAAACCATTACCAGAACTTATGTTAATTGTCCCTTCAAAGTATCTTATTGCCTAGGGAGCGTAAGTACAAATGACTAAGTCCAGTGGATTAGGAAGTGAATAAGGGAAAAGGGAAGATCATATTGATCTATGTCTTCAATCGAGTGTTCTGCCACCTCTCTTGCATCACTATTGTTGCCATACTGCATCCTATTCCTTTGTACCAAAGTGAAAAAGGCAAGATCATATTGAACTATGTCTTCAATCGAGTGTTCTGCCACCTCTCTTGCATCACTATTGTTGCCATGTTGATCCTATTCCTTAGTAAGACCTGAACAAAGTGTACATGAAATGGGAAGCTTCGGCCTGGTTTTGTACAGTAATGAAGGCATTCAAAGGTCGAGAAGCATGCCATTGCCACATCTTGTTGGAATTTGTTGATGCACTTCATCCTTCATCTTATTTTTCCATGTAAAAATTAGTCCATGTACACTCTGTCTCCAACTTATTAGATTCCCTCCTTAGTAGTATGCTTGGTTAGCTGGAAGGATGGTTTCTTTCACACTCTTTCCTCGTATTCATGTATCCCGAATTCCATTTATCAGCTAATAAATTATCGAACAAGTTGTATGAACTTTTGAAGCCCGTCTTTTCCTTAGAGGACAACTTTCGATATAACGGACATCAATTGCCTCATTCTTGATCATACGATCTGTGTGGAAAGCCTCATGTTTCTACAAAATCTTTAAGATAAGCAATTTATTCGTTTTTTCAACCTTTAGCGATCTGAAAGCAAGATGTAGAATATCATTGTGGGTGGCTGCTGCAACATTAGTTTCATTTGGTGCAATGAAGGGATTTCTAAGACCTTATTATGATTCTTAGTTCTGGGATAGGATTGGTCTTATGGTACGCTAGTAACATGCTGAAATGATGTCTAGATTGCATCGAGTTGATGCAAGCAAATTTGTACTTGCTGTTGGAGGTAAGGATATTGACTTGACTAGATAGAGAGGTTAGGGTTAGATGGAGGATGACTTACACTATCAGTTCAGTTTGTAACATCCGTGGCTTAAATCAAAGAAGCTTATTTATGTCAGCTTCCTCTTAGTTTCTAAAGCTGCAATTCCATGCAGGCAATATGCCACATGCATAGTTAGCAAACATTTTCATCACAAAGTGTTAACCTTAACGCGACATAAACTTGGCAATGTCAAAATACAGATATGGAATCAAATGTACTCTTGACCATGGCCAGTTTCTTGTTTTCAAAGTTCCGAGTGGCCAATTCGTACTCATACCCATTTACTTGGGTTGGGTTTTTTACAAATTAATTTGGGTTTGTACTAATGCCCAAATGCAAATTACAGTTTCGTACTGACTCAACCCAACTATCACAATCAAATCCCCCTAAGGCCCAAGTATAAACCTTAAATGGGTGCAATATAGGGCATGTATTTTTAAATATCAACCCGGGCCGGTCCATGTACCCCTACTTCAATTGTTTGAAACATTATCTAGCGGATTGTTGTTTTGCGAAATTATCTACAATCTACTATTGAAAAGCAAGACTTGAAAGGTAAAAAGGGTTGAAACTCTTGGTGAAAAACTTCACTCGGGAGTTGCTTCCCCCTAACTAACTACCATAAACCGTGGGACAAGGCAATTGCGAACCGTTAGAGGTGCAACAATGGTAAGAAACCATCCTCTCAATTGCTAGGCCAAGGAAAGAATAAGGGTGTTCAAATTGTTATTATGGTAATTACCAAACCAAACAAGCCAATTGCGAACCGTTAGAGGTGCAACAATGGTAAGAAACCACCCTCTCAATTGCTAGGCCAAGGAAAGAATAAGGGTGTTCAAATTGTTATTATGGTAATTACCAAACCAAACAAGCCAAAATTATAATAACCATGAAATATAATATCATAACCAAACCGTCCAAACTAATACAACAACCAAATTAACCAAACTAAAGTTTAATCGGTTTGGTCAATTGGTTAACCAAATCAAGCAATATAATATCTTTTTATCATTAAGTGAATTTTTTTCCAGTTAATGCATCAATTCACAATTTTTATGATGAATAAAACATTATATTGAACACATGCAATTAATACAATTATTTTACAGTCAATAGAAGTATTCACCTAAGAAAAATATATGTCAATAGTATAGGTAATTAGTTGTTGTGATTGTGTGAATTGAATTTTAGTCTCTTAGAAATTATCAAGTTTTCATCTAATATATTGTACGAGTTTTATCTAAATTGGGCGTTCATATATCATGGTCTACATTCTACAAATACGAATATACAATATAGGAACAATATTTTGCTTTATTGTTGATGAGTCTAAAAGGAAGGAATGTTTGGCTTTTGAGTGGTTATGCCAAGTATTAAGTATGTGTATATAATATATATTAGGTATATGGATAATTACTTAACTGGTTAATTTGATTTGATTGGTTAGGAGTGTCTGAAACCAAACCAAACCACCTAAACCAAACAAGCTAAAAAATTTAACCAAACCAAACCAATTATCAAATTTAACCAAACCATATTAGCCAAATACTACTAGTTAAAACGGTTACCACGATAACCACACCGTTTGAACACCCCTAATTATAAGCTATAATTGTATCCCTCTTGACCCAAGCAATTGAGGATTGATTGGCCTTCTCCCTCAAATCAAGGTCGGGACGGTTTAACCACAATTAACATAGGTGCCTAATTCAAGTTTAGAGTTTTCCCCTACATTAACCTAGTTAGGAGGCATGGAATGCCTGAGAAAACCCAGCTCATTTTGAGCCTCTTAAGATAAGGGGGCTTCGCTCTAATCTAGGTTAGAATAGCACAATAGCTTGCCAAACACACACAATGCACAATCACCATGAAAAAATACCTCAAACCTTAAACTAAACACCACCCACACATAATCATTCAATCCACACAATCAACTACATGTTAGAAGTTAGAGTTCTAGAATACCTAAGTGAAAAGAGACTACTTCATGCTAGATAAAGGAAGAACACAAAGGAAAAAGAAAGAAACCAACATTGTGATGCCTCCAACTCTCCTTGTGCTTGTAGAGATCCTCTCTTAAAGAGGAACTTCCCAAATCTTCACTTCGAGCAAACCCTAGTCTCTTCTCCCTCTTGATTCATGACTTTCTCTCTCTATGGTTTCAAGAAGAAGAAGGTTTCTCTCACTTTTGGGCTACCTTCTTCTTCCTTTAATCTCTCCATTTATACACAGATCGCGCCCAGTTCACGGTAGGTCGGGACCGTGAACACAACCCAAAATGCGCCGCTTCATTTGTTGGGTTCGCGGTCCATGGGTTCGTGAACTGCCTCGGTGTTAGTAACTTCCGAAACCTCTGTGGACACCCTTCAGTTCGCGGTTTGTGGTTCCAGTTCACGGTCCTGGCGACCGTGAACTCGCAGCTCTGAATGTGAATTGTGGTTGGATCCTCCTCTTTGCCTAGTCTTTGCTCCTTTTCTTCCAACTTTCGAATCTGGGGTTGGTTCCACCTGTTAGACTCTGAAACACAACAAACCTAGCGTAAAACCACCCTTTTTGGAGCTCAAATGTCACAAAAGTCCAAGAGAAACGAGGATAAAAATTGTACAATTAGGCCCGAATAACGTACCTAAACTTAATAGATATACATATTTAGTGCCTAAATTTAATTTTTTTTTTGCATATAAGTCCTCAAAATATCGTTGGGAAATTACATTGTAGTACCTAAAAAATTTTGGTACCAAAACTTTCCAAGTTTTACAAATAGTTCCAATTTTTGTATGTGTAGTTGAAACACCCTGAAGTAAAATGAATCAATATCCAACCCAAATCCATTTAGGTTATGGAAGCAATATCCATACTTTACCCAAACTCATATGCATTTCACTCATACACAATCTATTATTAATGGATCTACTTGGATTTGGTTATAATTATCCATGAATGGGTAATTTCCATCACTACCACCTATCCACCCGCCACCGGTCCGAATCTCTTGACAAGAAGAGCAAATTCCGCAGACCGAGTCGAAGAAGCATCGAGTGGTGAGAAGAATTTGCTGTGGAATATAAAAGATAGGAATTCCCTTTAGTTTTGGTAGAGATTTTTATGATTTGGCTGTGGAATTCAGATGCATTTTTATATTTGTTGGAGAAGGGACGACGATGGTTCGCTGGAGAAGACAACAATGAATCTCCAACCCCATCTCACCTCCGCTCCCTCTAGCCCTTTAGCATCAAAGAACAAGGCTAGATGATTTGAGTTTGGATGACCCAGATGTTGAACTAATGCCCGAGGAGAGATTTGGGCCCATTTCTGACTACTTATGATCTGGTATAATCTTTCTTTTGTAAATGCCTATCTAGATTCGGCATTATCCCAAGCACATGGGTAACCCTCGAAGGCCAAATCTTCCAATTTTGTATCCACCAACACATTCCCAAAAGCCATCATATCCCTTTCATGCTCTAATCTCTTCCATCTCTTCCACATTTCGTTCAGGACCTGATTGTAGTCGCCCATCACTAGCCATTGCAA